AGGCAGAAAAAATCAAAAAATGACACAAAAGTGCAAATTTGTAGTAAAATAACTAAAACAGCTGAAATTTTCAATAAAACAACTAAAAAGTAGCTGGAAATTATTTAATTAGCATAAGGAGCACAAGTTTGCTAACCTTAGCTGAAAAAAGTTGTAATAGCTACAAAAAAAACTTGTATTTAGCTAAGAAAATCTAACCTTAGCTAACAGCAGTTAAACATTAGCTAAAATTTCAGCAAATAGTTGAATATACGTAGCAGAAACCATCTGTAAGAAGCAAACATGGCACAAAGTAGCAGAAAAAATAGAAAAACAAGAAGTATAGCAGAAAAAAGCAGAATTTTAGCTGAAATAGTAGAAAAAAGCTAAAATTAGCAAAAAAGAAGCTAGATTAGATAGTAGCTAGATAATTAGCACAAGAAAGTGAAAAAGAGCATAACCAGAACAAAACGTGCCAGGTGCTGTAAAGATTTAAAAACATTTTAAATTTTTATTTTTTATTTTCAGGATGTTGAAAACAACATTCATTTTCAACGGCAAAAAAGTGGCTAAAAAAGTGAAATAGCTAAAGAAGTATAAAAAGCTGAAATACTAACAGTCATAGCAGGCCTCACATGAATGAGCTGAACGTTTTCATACATGAATTGTTGAAATGGCACAAAAATTGCGGAACGAGTTAGATGCTGAAAGACACACAGAAGAAAAAAGATCTCAGCAGTGATGATGACATCGTTCTGAAGACGATGAAAGGTCTCCGTCTCCTTCCAGTACCCCAGTGGACAGGTGCTGGACTGCTGGTCAATGGTCACGCCCGAAGAAGAGCCGCTCGTCCTCAAACAGTTCCTCCGCTTCGGTGAAACACGGCCCATAGTACAGCTGATGATGCTTCGGTGTGTGGAGGGACACCTGCAGACCTCTGGTCCAGACTCAGACAAGAAGAAGAAGAATGGAGGTCCAGGACAGGTGGTCAAACAGAGGACGGTCCACCTCAGTGAGAATGTCTCAGGAGGACAGTCCGTGCTCCTGCCTTTCCATTTTCCACACTCAGACAGATGTTTGCTTCCTTCTACTGAGGTAAGGACGTCTCTGTCCTCATCCTGCAGCTTCAACTCAATCGATCATTTGTGTGATTTTACAAAAATAAATCAGAAACTTWAGCTGAACCTCTTTCTTCAGGAGCTTGTTTCCTCCAGTAAACTAACACAGATCCTGAAAACGTCCCACGGGACAGAACCGGCTGAGAGACACGAACACCATGGAGGAAGAACCGGGACGCACGGTGACTTCACCTGGAAACAAGCTGAACCAGAACCTGCCGTGTCCGTAAAACCAGACCCGGACAAGTCAAGTCCGTTACTGACCCTCTGGAACCAGAGTTCAGGACTCCACACTGAGCTGAGAGGAGACTGGGCCAGACAGAAGAAAACTGTGTCCTCAAAGCCATCGTCTTTCCTGTGTCCACCAGTGTCCAACCCATCGTCTTTACTGTGTCCACCAGTGTCCAACCCATCGTCTTTACTGTGTCCACCAGTGTCCAACCCATCGTCCTTACTGTGTCCACCAGTGTCCAACCCATCGTCTTTACTGTGTCCACCAGTGTCCAAATCTTCTTCCTTTCATCTACAAACCTCACAAAAGTGTCAAAGGTCACCGCCCTCAATGCAACCTCTTCCATCTTTCTCCTCCTCTTTCCACGGTTCTCTTCACACCTCCTCTTTTGCTCCTCCCATGCACCCTCATCCATCCTCCTCCTCCTCATCATCATCGTCCCTCCATCCTCTCCCTTCTTCCCTTTGCTCCTTCCCTTCCCTTTCCCTCGGAGGATGTCGGAAAGGGAGGGTCAGCTGTGGCGTTTGTGGGAAAAGCTTCTACGACAAAGGTAGGCTAACCCTAACCCTAACCCTAACCCTAACCCGAGACTTAACTCTAGACCAGGGGTCTCCAACCTGTACCTCCTGAGCTCATTTAAAGTAGCTCTTCAGTGCTTATGAAAAATTATGAGTAGCAAAATAAAATTTTCACTGGCCAAACTAACTTTCATTTAATTCCAATCAGTCTATAGATGTCCGTTCCCCTTGGTTGTCAGTCAAACGGTTTAGGGCTCAGTATGGTCAATTGGCAGATGACGTTGCAGTTATGTGGTTGTTTGGCATTCGTTTTGACACACACCTGTCATAGCACCTTGAGACACTGTGCCAAACTCCTGGGAAACCCCTCCCACTGCGGTACATCACTGCAACGAGTTTCTTCCCTCTGGAGTCTACAATGTGGGGAAAAAAATCGGAGACCTGTCACCTGAAGACAGCAAAACAAGCTTATTCTAATGGTTTAAGTTTAACGTTATATGTTGCAAAAAGTAGCTCTTGTGGAAAAAAAGGTTGAGACCCCTGCCCTAGCCCTAGCTCTAGCCCTAAAGTCAAAGGTTTCAACAAATAAATCTTCATCTGTTCAAACAGGAACCCTGAAGATCCACTACAACGCCGTCCACCTGAAGATCAAACACCGCTGCACGATTGTCGGCTGCTCCATGGTCTTCAGCTCGCTGCGCAGCCGAAACCGCCACAGCGCCAACCCAAACCCCCGGCTGCACACGGGGGCCTGCAGAGACCCCCACCTCTACCGGGCCACGCCTGAAAACTCTCAGAGGATGGAGGACGGACCGGATCACAGACACAAGCACGGACAGACGTGCAGAGAAAGGGACAGTGTGTTTTGGCAGAGGAGTATCGACACAACGCCGCCGCTAAACAGACGTTTAAACCTCCAACATGGCCGACGGAGCATCTCACCTCAGGAAGCTGGCTCTCCTCCCCAGACTGTAAACCAGAACCAGTTTATCGACCCGAATCCTTCCCAGAACCAGATTCCCCTGCTCCTTCTCCCAGCAGGAACTGCTTCCTCAGTGAGCTCTTCTTCCTGTCGCACCTGCCTGGTGACCAATCAGCAGTGGCGTCTAGTCGACCCTTTTCCAAAGAAGAAGCCGAGGAAGTCGAGCATGCCCATGAAAATAAAGAGAGAGAGAGAATATTCAGAGCAGAAGATGTGAGGACAACGAGAAGGTCTGAAGAACTGCAGGGCTGGTACAACTTTCAGACCAGCCTTCTTCTAGATAGGGTCCTGGATGGGGTTCTAGATGGGGTCCTGGATGGTGTCCTGGATGGGGTTCTAGATGGGGTCCTGGATGGGGTCCTGGATGGGGTACCATCTGTGATCCCAAGCAGGAAAAAAGATGGAAACTATCTTCATCACTGTTGTTCACAATAAAAACTCTTTAGATTATTTTTGTTCAGTGTTTAATTGATCGTTGCACAAACAAATACAGCTCTTATTGTTAGGTTCGATGCACAGGAATGAACCCAGGTCTAGATGGAGATTAAAGAGTTTACAAAAATGATTTATTAAATAAACAAAAAGCAGACGTGGCAGCAAAAACTAAACAACAACACAGGAGACGCAGGGAAACAACGTGGAGAACCTAAACCATTGGACATGTCAAACAATGAACCAGCGAGGATGTGGAAAACATGATGCTATGTTCCATTTACATCGTGTTCCCAGAACTGGTAAATGGTGGTGACGTCATTTCCCAACAAACCATATGAAACTGCATTCCAGTTAGCTGACAGGCCATTGTGTTGCTGCAGCTAACCTAGCTACAACACTGCTACAATGTAAACAATGACAAAAAGAGAGCTCTACCATGTATGTCATGCAAATAAACATTGATTTTAATAAGTACAGTATTGCACAGAAAACACACTACTTGTGCGAGTGATTAAACATCCACAAAAAAATGAAGAAAGATATTTAATAGTAAAAGTTACGGAGTTAACTTGTTTAACCTGCAAGGAGCCGCCATCTTGAAATCGAAACTGGGGGCAGTTTCATTTCTTCCACTACACCATTGGAATATTACCACTGGAGGTTCCAGTTTAAATCTACCAATGGGAACTGGGAAATTACCACTTTCCAGGACTACTGGAACACACCATATATACAAAGACGGAGGGAGGAGAAATGAGCATTAGCTGAGAGGAAGACTGGTTACAAAACCACTGGCAGGTGAGAAATGACAGGAACCAGACTGAGGAGATGTAAGAAGTAAAGACACAAGCAGGACACAAGAGGGAGACAGCACACAGGACCAGACACAACACACACATCCCTACACTCATATTCAGAATCTTCCATCAGTGTTTGGTCTTCTGTAAGTCACTAACGTACAAACCTGATTTATTCACCCTGTGAAGCACAAACAGGACCAAACTGAGCACAGTCCATGTTGAATCCTGAACTTAAAGAGGGTTTTTTCTATAAATACCACAGTGTGTTACATTTTGTTAATATAATATGATGTTTTTTGTTTGTTTTGTTTTTGTTTTAAGGGTAGAGCCCATGTTYAGTGTCTTTCTATGGAGGGGTTGTTCTGAACTGTATTTTCGTTGTGCTAACGATGCAATGACAAATAAAACTCTCTCTCTCTCTTAAAGGATTTACAAGAGCTGCTTTACTTTTTTATTTAAAGAGGGTTTAAATTACAGGGGTGTGTAATCTAACCTTTTATTGTCCCTCAATCAAAAATGCAAAAAAAGGTAACACGTAATCTTTAAATCTTATGTTCACTGCTTGTTTTACCATAAATGAAACTAATTTGTTTTATAAATTAATATTCACTTCATCCTATAAAACATTTCCATTAGTTGGGTGTGGAGCAGAGGGAAAATACAGGAAACAGCCAGCAGGTGGCAGCAAACACCACACTGGACCTGCAGCTATCTATCTATCTATCTATCTATCTATCTATCTATCTATCTATCTATCTATCTATCTATCTATCTATCTATCTATCTATCTATCTATCTATCTA